CCCCCCACTTTCCCCTTTGTTCTTCGTCCTTTACTCAAGGGGAAGCCTTGTTGCCAGCCCGTTTTAATCCTCCCCAGAAGAGGCCCTCCGGTCACCGTCTCTGCCCCTTACCCTTCTCCTCCCCTCCCCGCCACACCCCTCCTTTCTGCCTCCCTCCTTGCCCCCTCCCCCGGAAGAGAGGCGAATCTGATTAACGAACAGGTTTTGACTCCCCCATCACCTTCACACACACACACACACACACTCCCCCCCAGAAGAGATGCCCCGCCCTCTTTTATTTACAAGAGGAGCATTTTGGGGGGAAAATCCGTTTCGGTTTTTGTTTGGGAGGGAATCAGGGAGGGATACCAAGAAGGATCAGGCAGGGACCCCAGGCGACACCGTGGAGGGTCTCTGACTCACCTTGACTTTTTCCACTGCTTCAGGAGATTTTCCCACACTCCTAACCTGCGTGTTTGTTTGTTTATTTACTGATTTATTTTTCAAATGTATATATGCCGCCCACCTCCCTAGGCAAGTGACTCTAGGCGGCGTTACACGTAAAAAACTAGAAAATCCTGGAAAACATATAGGCTTCTCTCTGGGTTTTTTTCGCATCTTCCTTAATGGATGCTGAGCAGGTGCGCTGGGAAACTGCAAGTCCCAGAATTCCCAGAAGACTGGGCACACCAGCTAGGCATTCTGGGAGCTGTCCCAGCATTCCAGACCGGGCTGTTTCCTAGAAGACGACTTCACAATGTTCAGTTGCGTTGTAATTATTTTAACTTGGCCTCTGCCGCCTTTGGTGGGACTTTGAAAAGTAGCACATGAAAAATATTAGGTAACAATACCCTCAAATCAGGCTTGAATGATTCAGACACACACGCCTCCTTGCTTAACCCAGCTTAGTCCCTGGGTTAAAAATGTACTAGATGTCTGGCTTCTTCCAGACAGCATCTGTGTATTATCAAAGATTCTGCCTTACCAATAATTAGCTATTTCCTTGTTTGAAACTCTTGTGTTTTCTCACTTTGGCAAGACCTCATTTTCACTTTGGGCCGTTAGAATCTCGTTTCATTCGAGCTGTTGGCCCTTCAGAAGTGAAGTACGGTTGAGTGGCAAATGAGTTAGTAAAAGTGCCTGGCCAAAACATGTCTCGGTTTTACTGATTTGATCTCGTGGTTTCATTATTCCGTGAGGTCATGCTCTTTGATTTTCTATCTTTTTCTTTTTTTTTTTTTTTGGTAGCAGGGATGTTTGTTTATCTATCCTAAGTGAGTTCTTTTCTGTCCTGAGTCCTTCGGCACTTGCTTGGATAAAAAGACAGAGAGTGCATCTTTTAAAAAATGGAAAAAACAAGAAGGAAGCCAAAATACTGATTTTCTGGCTCTGATGATGATGGTCAGCCAGCTTAGCAGGAAACAGGCCTGCTAGTCGCCTTAAGGAATGTCCCCTTGGTTTATCCCCCCATAATCTGCCACAGATAGACTATCACTGGCCGTGGAGGTTCTGTTCTTCACAGGGCTGTGTGATTGCTGAGGTTTGTGACTCTGTACATGGGTGTGAATGTGTGTGATTTTCCTCCTTTCTTTTAAACCCTTTTGTGTTACTGGTTTCAGTTACTTAGGCGAATATCTAAAGAAGTTGGAATGCATTCTTTACTTAATTAATTCACAGTTGAGGCTGTCCAACCCCTCAAGGATTTTGGGTGCCTTACTGTATATGTAGTTAAAATATATTTATGTATCTATATCTATAAAATTACAGTAGTAAAAAATGTCCCATCTTTCCACAAGTTTATATCAGCCAGTATTCATCATTATTTAATTCATTTTTTGTACTGCTGATTATACAATTGCATCTCAAAGCCAATAATAATAATAATAATGATAATAATAATGATGATGATGATAATAATAATAATAATAGATTAAATTTGTGTGCTGCCCAACTCTCAACAATTCTGGGCTAAAACGCAATAAGATCAGTGAATGAAAACAGTATAGAACATATTCCTCAGAAAGGAAGGAATTAAAACAGATCCCTTTTAATCCCAGATTAAAACAGAAGCATTCCTCCAACACATATAAATGCTTATCTGGTGCCTCTAATAAAAAATAGCTACCTATGAACTCTTTCCATCAATAATGGAGTGACGAAGGAAACGAAATAAATTGGTAACTAAGTAACAGCAAAGGAATGACAATGCAATACATTTCTGCCTAGGAAATTCAGCTTTATGCAAAACCAGCAAGAGAGCAGCCAAGTTTTCAGAAGAGCTGCAGGGAGATGAAACGGGATTATCTTTACACGTAGCCTGTTAATCTGCCAGATACGGAGCAAGGCCCTGGGAGTTAATACGTACAACATTCCTGCCAAAAAAAAAAAAACCCTAAGTATTCAGAAGACTGAAATTCATGCACTGCCTTTTCTAGGTGGTGTGCAAAGAAGGAAATATCTCCCCTGGAAACAGATGCACTTTATTCGTACAACAGCCCAACAAGGTAGGATAGTCAGGGAGACTGACCAGCTGAAACTCACTTAATGATTCCTCCAGGGGACTGTCACATTGAGGGTGATGAAAATTATAGTCCGTCCCATCCACTGGCCATCCAATTGGAGAAGCTGAACCTGTTGGATTTTTGGCAGAGAGCATCAGGATTTGCTGGTGAAGCCCTACACTTCCTCCCAACCTGGTCTGAAGCAGCTGAGGTTATACTACTTTCTAGACGAGGCTTAAAATGTGCACGTGTAAGGCGGGGGCATTCACAATACGGTGTGTCGTGGAACTCAGGTTTTATTTTAGCATGTCTGGTGAACCAGACTCTGCTAGGAAATATTAGGAATTGTGGAAAAGAGCCAAGCCAGGTGTGCCCTTCAGCTTTGCAACAATCATTGGGTAGAACCCGTTTCTAGTCCTCAAGAACTTGGCCAAAGTTGTCGTACTATCTCAATTTCTTGTCAGAGCCCCACCACCCAACTTGTGTTAATATTCTAAAGAGACCTAGCTAAGGTTGCCAGTCTGCTAGCTTGGCTGATTTAAGAGGCTGGTTGTTGTTGTGACGGGGCGTGTATCTGCAGCTGCGAAATCTTAGGAATGTGGAATACAGCCCAGCCAGGTGTGCAATTCAGCTTTGCAAAGATCATTGGCTGGAACCAGTTTCTAGTCCTCAACAGCTTCACAGCCCAATGGGGGGCAATGTCTGCTGAAATTCCCAAAACTAAAGGGACTATGGGGAGGACGTGGAGGTGAGGGAAAAAGCAGATTTTCCTACCTTGTTTTGGGAATTGGTGACTTCAAACTGAGTTGGATTTCAGTCTCCAGGATTCCATACAGGGGGAGAAAGAGGTCTACCTAGGTCATGACCCCTTGGGTCACTTTTCCCCCATTGCAAAAAAAACAAAAAACAAGCCAACTTGCAAAAAAATAATCATGCCGCAGCAGAGATATTTGACCTGCGTTTAACGCCACTTGATAAAAAACAAAGGCCCACCTTTTCTCTTTCCCAACCTGCTGGCAAACAGGACTGAAGGCCTTGTCTCAGTTGCCAAAGAATTGAGATGGAAAGTTCAAAAGCCTGGCATAACTCACTCAGGAAAATGCAGATTGAAGAAAAACATGTTTGAGGGATCCAGTTTCAGAGTTGGCAGAGCTGGGAGCCAAAGTTTGAGAGCTGAAAT